TTAAATTATATTTCGTGTATTTTAATTTCGTTGATTCTAATTTTTATATGATGCAAATTTCTCATTAAAATTATACGCGAACCGAATTATCCTCCGTAAGATAATATAATTTTGAAAATTACTGTGTGTAGCAATTTACGAAATTTCAAAATTGATATTTCACATTCGCGAAGTCAATCCCCGTTGTTACTCTTTAATTTTTAATCACACCAATTGAATTATTTTTTATTAACCTAATAAGTTATAAATTCGAGTACGTTCCACAGAAATTTCCCGAAATTCCGTTTTTCCTTCAATTCTTCTCTGCCATTTTCATTAATCACGCTAGATTATCAAATTTAAATTGAATCACGTTCCTCTGGATAATATTTATAACTCTCCACATTGCCAGATTCTCTCTTATTCTCTCACAATTTCTAACTAAATCAACGATAAACACGCGGATATATGATGAAATCCAAATCGGTGCATTCTCTTCAAGTAATCTTCAAAGCTTCTTCAAACTTAACCGGAATTACGAATTACGATTTTTAATTCCATTTCTTTCCCCAATGTTCCCCAAACACCGAACCAAATTACCCTCCATACCGACGATATAAATTGGGATCACCGGAGCTAGCCCATTCCGCGGTGGCTTTAAATTCCCTTATTTCGTTCCCACTTGCACAACCCGGCCCGCCGTAATTTCCATTAACGTCGTTCATTCGATTATTTACACCCCCGAAACTCGGTGCCAAAGTTGCACACTTTCGAAAATAAGAAGGAGAGAGAAAGAGAGAAAGAAAAAAAAATCTCGCCCCCAGTGTCGCGGCTGCAACTTTATTTCTACCGATTTAACCGAGTGCACTGGAGGGTGCCGTGGAGGGTGATCGATCGGGGTGTAATTGCGCGATTTCTCGTCCCCTTCTGCCCTCCTCTAATACGTTTTTTCTTTTTTTTTTTTTTTTTACTTTTTCCCCCTCCACGTTGGGAATTTAGTTATCGCCCCGATAAAATCCACCCCTCCTCCGGGTCACGGATCCTCATGACGTCAAGCGAGAAAGATTTAAGGTTGCTTTTCGTAATATGACCCACTCACCCCCTCTATATTCGAACTTAGCAGGTGGAACCTCGAATTTTCGAGCTAATCGAGGACCCAGTTTCGCTCCACTTTTATTTGTTCAGGTCAGATCGATCCCTTGTTCCTTTTTTTCTCTCCGTTTCGTTTTGTACATAATAGTCCCTCCATAGTGGGAGATCATTTGAGATCGAGATCGGTGGAATTTATTTGTTAATTAAGACGGTGCGTGAAACGATAAGGAGGAGTCGATGATTCTTTGGACGATGGGAGGATTGGATTAAAAGCGGTGGAATTTTTTTTGATAAGACTCGAAAAAGGAGGGAGGCGTGAATCAGGTTAATTTTGCGAATGATAAATCTCGGGGGGAGTGGAATTTTTATGATGTAATTTGTAATAATGATAAATCTTTGGTTGTAACGGAGGATAGGAGAGGATTTATTTTATTACGGGATTCGAGAAATGATTTTTAATGCAAATTAAGAATGGATTTTTATAAATTTTCGTTGAACGTGGAAAAATGAGATAGGAATAGGTAATTTTTGCATTTGAAGATAGAAGAGGGTTCGATATAAATTATGACGTAACGTTAATTTTGTATTTCGTGAATTATATAAAGCTGAATCAAATTAGAAATATTACGATCACGATAAAATTCAAGATATAAATTATTGAAAAGAAGAAAAGAAAGGAAAAAATTCCAAATTTCATGTCTAATCCACAGAACTCTAAAAATAAAATCTGTCTTTCTCTCTTTTTCTCTCTCTTCTTATCAACATTTATCTCATTCGTTTTAATTCGTAATCTAATTAATCTACTTAGATCAAAATAGTTCAAAATACACGTTTAAAAAAAATTTCTTCAAATTTCTTCTATCAATTTCCCCCTCGCATAATTAGCTTCAGGAAAGGAAGCTTGCTGAATCGAAGGAAGAAGGAGGATAGAAAAAAAAAAAAACTTAATGACTCGGAGCCGTCGTGGAATAAAGAATAATAAACCCACGGCGAGAAAAGGGTGGCGAATCGTCCTTCTTATCGGAAGGTGCTCATTTCGAAACGACAACGTCCTCATTGTAGCCGCGCCGCTCTTTGACCAAGCTTTGTGAAGCTTTGCGAGGATGGGGGCGCGGACACCCTCGATTAAATTAAATTCCTCCAACTTGTAATTGCTTTCGCGATCGTGTTTTTCTTCGCCACGATGCCGGATCCAAGGAGTTCCATCCCGTTCACCGGTGTCACGATAAAAGAGACCGTGATTTTTCACCAACCCTCCCTCCCTCCCTTTATTTCTGTGTCCAAACGAATTAGACTATTCGTGTAAAATAATTGGGTTGCCTTCCATCCCAGGCATTGTGAGCATCCCTTGCGTGAAATAGAATTCTACAAATTCTCTCGTTTCTTCTTTTTCTTTTCTTTTCTTTTCGACAATTTTTTCAGCAAGCATTGAAAATCATTGTCGTAGTTCGATTTCGACGAGATTGAAAGGGGAATAATAAATTCTCAGGAAGAATCGGAAATAATCCAAGGTGAGGAATATCTTGGTTAGGAATATTAGATGTTCTATCATCGATAGATTTTGTTGCACGCGAACGTATGTATAATATACACTCTCTTTTGATACATTCTTATGAAATGTAAATACTCGAAGAAGGAAAAACAAAATCCGTCTTTAAATAGAGTAACATCTATCTAAAATATTTCTTGGAACAACTTGTCGATCAACATAGCTAGCTACAGTCACATTAATAATAAACAAGCCCCGCCCATCACTCTCACATTGCTCACATAAATATTTATTCCCGAAACTACGTCTATCGAATATATTTAAAACCTTCTTCGACCTGAACACAACAAAGTCGAGGGAACGTATGTATCGACACATACGCCGATATTAGTCACGTAATCAGTTTCGAAGTGGATACACGAGCGACGAAAACGTGGTAACAGTTGCGCGAATCGCGAAACGTATCAATCAAATATCGTGAAACGTCGTGAATTTATATACCTGTCACCGTGAACAAGAGTTCATCGATGTCCCGCGGCTCGATGGGCGAGAAGGGGAGGAAGAAGGTGGAGGATCTCGACGATGACATGTCGTAAGCCGAGCATGAAATCATTTATCTCGGGGATAAGCGGGGAGAAACTACCTCTATCTCTTTCTCTTTCTTTTTACACGGATTTAAACGTTTCCTCTTCCTCTGACCTCTTCACCCTTCTCTGTCTTCCTTTCCACCCTTTCCTCGTTGTCCAAGCATCCGCGTAACTTATTGCAGATGTGTCGTCTCGAGGTTTTGTTACGTTTTGTGGCAATCGCACGACAAAGAGAACATCCCGTATCCGGATGGAGTGGTGGAATGTGGGGGTGGTGGTAGAGAGAGTGCGTGGCCCTCGGCCTTAAGCGGAACCCGTCGGCACGGAAAAATTGGATCCGGATTTCCGGCTGATAAGCGGAGTTCGAGGGGTTGCCTCGACCCCTTCTTCTCTCCTCGGAAAAAAACGGCTCCTCTTCTCTTTCGTTCGAGATGTGAAAGAGGAGAGAGATGATGTAGAGGAAGGGTATCGTTGCTTTTCGGG